TTCTTCTATTGAGGGGCACCTAGGTTGTTTCAAGGTTCTGGCTATTACAAATAGTGCTGCTATGAACATAGTTGAACAAATGCTTTTGTAGTATGATTGGGCATCTCTTGGGTATATTCCCAAGAGTGGGACTGTGAGATCCTGAGGTAGGTTGACTTCCAGTTACTTGAGAAACCACTACACTGATTTCCAAAGTGGGTGCATAAGTTTGCATTCCCACCAACAATGGATGAGTGTTCCCCTTACTCCACATCCTCTCTAGCATAGGTTATCATTGGTGTTTTTGATTTTAGCCATTCTGACAGATATAAGATGGCATCTCAAAGTTGTTTTGATTTGCATTTCCCTGAGTGCTAAGGAGGATGACCATGACCTTAAGTGTTTTTTGTCACCAAATCTGATGATAATAAGAGATAGTGAAACCTTCAAAGATATACAGTCTAAGTAGAGGTCAACCCTGGGTATTCCTGAGCTCTAACTTCCTGTTTTATCCAAGAAACACCTTGAGATTCAGCTCCCTCTTTCCCAGGTGATCAATGCTCAGGTGCAACCATTCTTCATATTGGCTTAAGCAAAGTTTGTGTGAATGGTAATTGGAGATATCTAGATGGTGTTTGGTCTTTCAGATTTCCAGAATGCAAGAGTGATGGAGTCATTGGACTTTCACTGACATTTCCAAAGACATCTTTTTAGGTCAGACAAATGTCTGCTGCAATATTAGAGCCTCCAAAGAAGGCCCCAAATGGGTGATACCTGGTAGAAGTATGCAAATGAAGCTGAGAGTACTGAAAGACTAGGGAGAGCAACCTGTAATATGGCAAACCTACATAGGAAAACTATTGTTAGTGTTGGAAGTCATCTCAATCACATAGGTATCCATGCAGGCTCTCACAAGCAATGTCACCAAAGCATAGCTGTCCAAGACCTGGTGACCCTGCTGCAGAGTGCACAGAATATCATTCTTGAAGATTTAGGATTTAATACCACTCTTGGGAAAAGAGATGCCCAATCATACTACAAAAGCATTTGTTCAAGTATATTCATAGCAACACTATTTGTAACAACCAAATTGTGAGGTTTGTTACAAATTGTTACATCTGGAAACAACCTAGATGCCCCTCACTGGAAGAATGGATAAAAAAAGTGTGGCACATAGACACATTAGAGTTCTACTCAGCAGTAAAAAACAATGACATCTTGAATTTTGCATGCAAATGGATGGAAATATAAAACACTACTCCGTGTAAGATAACCCAGATGTGCTCACTCATTAGTGGATTCTAGCCATAAACAAGGGACCTTGATTCTAGAGTTCATGATCCTAGAGAAGCTAAATAATAAGGTGAACCCAAAGAAAAAATATATAGATACTCCTGGAAATTGGAAGCAGACAAGATTGCTGGGCAAAAGTTGGGAGCATGGGTGTAGGGGGTAGGGGAAAATGGAGAGGGGAAGAGAAAAGGGAAAAGGGGAGAATTGGGGACAGTTTGGGGGAATGGGATTGTTGAGATGGAGGAAGGATGGATATGGGAGCAAGGAAGAAGGAAGAAGATATCTTAATTAAGAGAGCCATTTTAGGGTTGGTAAAAAGGCTTGGCTCTAGAGGGGTTGCCAGGTGTCCATGGCATGTCCCCATCTTGGTCCATGGGCAGTAGAAGAGAGTGTGGCTGAACTGGCCTTGTCCTATAGCCACACTGATGACTATCTTGAATATCACCATAGAACCTTCATCCGGAGATGAATGGAGATAGAGATAGAGACCCACATCGGATCACTGGACTGAGCTCCCAAGGTTCAGTTGAAGAGCAGAAGGAGAGAGAACATGAGTAAGGAAGTCAAGATCATGAGGTGTTGGCCCACCCACTTTGACAGTTTGACTGATCTAATGACCAGTTCACCAAGGCCAGTTTGACTGGGACTGAATGAGCATGTGATCAAACCAGACTCTCTGAATGTGGCTGACAATGGGGTCTAAATGGGAAGCCAATGATAATGGCACTGGGATTTGATTCTTCTGCATGTACTGGCTTTTTGTGAGCCTAGTCTGTTTGGATGCACACCTGGATTGATGGGGGAAGACCTTGGACTTCCCAGAGGGAAGTGTACCCTGTCCTCTCTTAGGACTGGAGAGGGACCAGGAAGGATGAGTTGGGGAATGGGAGGAAAATGGGAGAAGGGGAGGAGGTGGAAATTTTGATTGGTTTATTTATAAAGCAATAAAAAGAGATTTAGGATTTAATGCTTGTATTGTTCCTTTAAGTATGCAACAACTTGTTTTTCATTTTTCAGATTAACAGCCAGGCTGTGTCCTTCAGCCCCTGAGATTTTTCTCTCCCATCTCTTGTATTCTGCCGTTTCTGTTTTCATTTGTAGTTGCTGATCATTTGCCAGTATTTTCTGCATTCCACAGCCCACATACACACACACTCACACATAAATAAGTAAGTATAGAGTAAATACGTTTGAAAATGATCATAAAGTTGGAGAGATAGTTCAGCACATAGAGCACTTGTTGGGGATATAGATGGACTAAATTAGGTCTCAGCACCCATGTCACATGGTTCATACCAGCTTTAACACCAATTCCAGGGAAACCAAATTTGGCCTCTGCAGATACTACTATCAGTCTCTCTCTCTCTCTCTCTCTCTCTCTCTCTCTCTCTGTGTGTGTGTGTGTGTGTGTGTGTGTATGTATATGTGTCTCCCCTCTCTCCATTTTTCCCTTCCTCCCTCTCTCTCTGTTTATCTCTCTCATACACACACACACACACACACACACACACACACTAAAATGGGTCTTTAATGAAATATTCATTTCATCTCACAGTTCCATAAGTAAATATAATAGTGACAATAAACAACTAATTTTGTATATGAACAATTGAACTGTAAGGTTTCATTAACAAAATCATCCTCTAAATATATGAACAAAATTTTTTCCACTTTTTAAAAGAATTTTATACTGAATACTGTATTTACATCATTTCCTCCTTTCTTTCTCTACCCTCCAACTCCTCCCATTACCTCCACCTCCAATCTACTTCATGACTTCCTCCTGCACAGTCCAAGTAGTGTTGCTTGAGTGTACATCAATTTTGAGATGACCACTTGCAGGTGGGTCAACTCACAGCCCACAAGATACATAGTCAAGGGTAACTCTGAACTCAGGCCAACAAAAAAATCATGAAATCATTTAAAACATTTTATTTTCAGAGCTTTGGGAGAAAATTCAATTTTTAAATTTGTATCTCAGCTTGTGGTGATGGGACATGAATTTGGGAGACAAAAATGCTATGTTAAAATATGAAAAAGATGAAATGGACTTAATGAATAGTCTTTGATGATTGAGTATTCAGTAATTCATTGACAATGCTAAAGGCCTATATAGAGTATCATCTATAGTGTGATTCAAAGAAAATAATAAAGTCAATGATCAATATAGAGATTTGTTTTCTGATTATCTTGGGACCATCTATACTGATTCCAATTCCAGTTAGTTCCTTCCATTCTGAACTCTAACTGTAGTAACTTTTTCTCTATTGTTCTATCAGTAATATTAATGAAAATAGAACTATCATGTTGACGATTAGTAAAAGTATATCAAATTGTTTATTTGTAAAATTTTATGATCTTCAAAATATAAATAAATATTTATTTCAAAAATATGTGATATCATTATACACATTACTCCTCAAGGCTCAGGGATCTATGTGGAATAGAAAGCAGAAAGATTGTAAGAGCCAGATGTAGTGGATGACTTCAAGGAAAGAGCATTTTCCAGACACAGCATGGCAGATTCACATATGAATTCACAGACACTAGTACATAATTCACACAAAGTTCACAAGCTCAAACCAGACAAAATGCTAGCAAACAGGAGCTCAGTGTTCTACCCAGAGCCAAGGAAATGTTGTCAACTTTACAACCCCTGAGAGAGGGAAAGTCAGTTTTCTTCACTGGTGTGACATTGGGTATGACAATGACACTCCAGGGCTGGCCTTACATCCAATATGAACTGGACACTATGGTTTGGTTTGAAAATTTGGAGAGAATACAAACTGGGGTGGGAAGGAAGATAGAGGAGGATCTGGTAGGATTTGAGGAATTTAATTATTATAATCAAAATATAAAGTTCTTATCAAACATTAAAAGGGATTTTAAATATAAGGAGGATGCCAAGATATCCTTAGGAAGTGAAAATAGAAGAAATTTTGTGAGAGGACTAAGAGCAGGTGCTTATATTAGTGGGAACATGAGTGATTCAGTTGCAGGGGGACAAAGGAGGAGAGTACCAATAAATACTATTGGAAAGTCGGGGCATTTCAGAGTCTGGTAAAAGTCTGATGCAAGGTAATCTCGCAGACATTTGCAAGGATGACTGTAGCAAAGACTCCTAGCAATAGAAGATACATAGCCTGAACTGGTCATCACTTATGACCAACCTGGTTCCAAGTCCAGTTGTCATCAGAGAGGCTTCATTATATACAACTGATTTAGACAGTGCAGACTCACAAACAAACATTAGGTGGTGTTCAGGAAATCCTACAGAAGAGGGGGAAAAGGATTGTAGGAGCCAGAGGAGTCAAGAGAACCATAATAAAACTCACAGAATCAGTTACTTTGGCCTCATAGGAGTATACAGAGACTGAACTGACAACCAGGTAGCCTGCATGGCATTGACCTAGGCATTAAGTCTGTATGTTAGAGCTGTGTAGTTATATCCTCTTGTGAAACTCTTAACATCAGGAGCAGGGCTGTCTCTGATTCTTCTACTAACTTTTTCAACTCCACTCCTCATTCAGCCCTGCCCTAATACATGGAAGGTGCTTAGTCTTACTTCAACTTGATAGCCTTTGTTTGATTCACAATTCTCATGGAAGAACTGACCTTTCCAAAACAGAAATGGTGGAGGAGTAGATGAGGGAATGGGAACAGAGCAGGGTGGTAGGGAAAAGGAATAGGAGGAGAGGAGGGAGAAGAGACTGGCCAGGATGCAAATAAACAAGCAAATAATTTTATTTTTAAAAGAGATGTCTATATTTTCAGTGTAACATTTATTGTAGAACACTGCAACTAAAACAGCTGGTATCAGTTTTATAATAAGTGATATCACAATGCTTCACATGTTCATAAAAACACATTATTGATCAAATTGCAGAGGAAAGGTTACTCTCAAAAGAGCTCAAAAGAACAGATGGAGCCGACCAGATGTGGATTGAGGTGGTAGCATGATAACCAGAAAAATAAATTTCCATCTGTCATTGACTTAGTCATTTTTCTTCACACTGAGTATTGAAACTGAGAAAGCTCAATGGATGCATGAAAGATCATAATAATGATTCTTCAAGGCCACTCAACTAAACCTTATCTTCTCCTGGGTTTTATTCATGAAGTAAACTAAAGTTTCCATTGCCCTTAGGCTTCAGCTTCTTGAAGAACACAACAGGACCCCTTGATGCCCTGTTATGATTGCATCCCGTGGTACAACCTTTAGAACAATGGGTTCTTCTGTTTGAAGCAGTGGTGTTCGGCTTAATTTCAGAGGGATCTGAAATAATGTAAAAAAAATAAGAAAATCATGAGTAAACTATAAGTAATCCCAGAAGAAAAGCTTTAAAAAATTTCAGGAAGGAAATTCTTTGAAGAAACATAAAAGTTGCATTTAACATGAAATATTTTGACTTTCTTTCTCCAAGATGTGTCAACTAGATGGTGAAAGCATACATCCAAACTGTGCATTGGGTAAAATGTTGATTGAGAATCTACTGTATAAGGGACTTGAGATGAAGTTATGTTGGTTCATGTTATTTCTGTCCTATGTTGATTTAGAGTAAAACATTCAAGTTTAATATTTTGAGCCTAATTCCTAGTTATTATTTTATATTATTTTTCGAAGTCCTGAAATGCTGTTTTTGATTCGTTGATACTTGTAAGCTAACTCTGAGAAGATACACTTCAAGTCTGTGGACAGTCCTCAGTTCCCAGTTTATATATGGCCACTGCAGTTGGACCCATTCTAGACAAGGCTTTAGGATGACAGATATTTGCTTACTTTTCTAGACTCTATTTTTGTATTGCAAGGATAGGTTTAATGAAGGATTCTGAGTTCTCCAGTGTTTTCCATGCTGTTTTAGTCTCATGCTATTCAGAGATGGTGGGGAAATGCCTCCAACAGTGTTATCTTCTAATCACAGAAGAAAGGGGAGCAAAGTTGTCCTGGATATAGAGAAGTGTCAAATTTAGACTGACTGGAGTTTTCTACTGCATCTTCCTGTGTCAGGTTTGTCGTGGACTCTCAAAACTAGTACCATGTTTTGTCTCTCTAAATCCCTGTACATGCTTATGATTTAAGTGCTTTAGTGAGAAAGTTGTAAAATAAGTGAAATTGTATGGAAGTAAAATGACACAACTGCCATAAGCCACAAATCACAAAATAAAATTCCCTATCCTTCTAATCATTCATGAATAAAATTAATTAACAAAGAGAAGACAAATCCTCATACACAAGTCCTGTAAATTTTAGCTACCCCATTGTATGAAGAGAAACAATTTTGTTCAGAAAAATACAAACTCTTTTTCCAAATGCCCTGTCATATTCCTTTAAAATTTTATGTAGTGTATATTTTTTTGCATAAAAGCATTCAAAGCAGATGTTGATAAAATTATACGTGCTAAGCAGAGTGGTGGTGGCATACGCTTTAATTCCAGCACTCAGGAGGCAGAGGAGGGTAGATCTCTTTGAGTTCGAGGCCAGTCTGTTATATAAGAGCTATTTCCAGGACAGGCTCCAAAGCTACAGAGAAACTCTGTCTTGAAAAAACTAAAAACATATATGCATACTAATGGTATCTATTAAAGATTTAATTGGCATAAAGTTTTCTTGAAAGAATATTATAATTGTTAATCATACTTTAAACCATTTACTGGAGATTTTCAGTGAACAAAATCTCCTCAAAGAACCAGTTGTAGTTTGTGGAAGATATAAGATAAGGTAATAAAAAAGAGAAATGATATTCTTCAATACAGAGAGAACAAACAGAACCAAACTGATGGCTTTAATGATAAAGCATTAGCCTAAGTTATGAAAAATGCCCGCAGGAGCCAACAGTAGAGCATAAAATAAAAAAAGGAAAGAAACTCATGAAGAAGAATATTTATTTGAGGAATGAACAAGAACTTAAGGTAGCAAAGTATAATAAAAAGTGGGAAAGATACATTATCTATGGAAATATGACAACTACCAGTTTTCTGGAGCAAGAACTCGAAAGACATGAGGCAGAACTGTTAAGATGCCCATTAAAGTTAGAGTTTGTCATAACCAGCAACTTTGTAAATATTCATTTATTTTTATTTTATGTATAGGAATGTTTTGTCTGCATATATGCATGTATAGCACATGTATGCACCCTCAACAGAAGTTAAAGAAGCACATCCTAGCCTTTGTAACTGTAGTTGAAAATGGTTGTGAGGCACCATGTAGGGGCTGGGAACTGAAATCAGTCCTATTCAAGACCAACAAGTGTTCATAACTGCTGAGGCATCTCTTGAGCCCTAGCAATTGTGCTTTAAAATAATGATTCTCAACTTGGTCTCACATGTTGAGTCAGTAATGAACTTTTAGAGCCAAACTGTGGGTGAATTATTTTAGGATTTTAGAAATAGCCAGACATCATGAGTTTTGTTTTTGTGTTTGAGATCAGGTGTCATGTAATGCACACAAGGCTTCAAATTCACAAATTGGCCAAGAAACACTTGGACTTCTGATCTTCTTGCCTCTACCTTTTGAATGCAAGGATTACGGGAATGCACACCACAGCTACCTCATTCTGCACTGTGCATGGGAACCAGGGCTTTGTAAATGCTAGGGAAGAACTTTGCCAACTGAGAAACATCTCAGACCCCATAGTGAGCTGTAAAGCTCTTTGGTGATTCTAATGAAGCCAGGCATTGACAAGACTGTCAGAGGAAAGCTTCTTTGAGCTCTTGAAGAAGAGAGCACCGCCCAACAAACATGAAGTCATGATCACTGCACATCTGACTACCACATGATATACCCTAACTTCAATTAACATGACTGCACTTTCAAACAGAATGCATATAATCTTTTCTTACTGACCTGCACTAGCTCATCAGAATGCTACAGTTATGCTCTATATTGACACAGAGTCAAAGGTCTCTGGGTACAAATAATGAATGTGGCCATAAAACAAATTAGTAAAACTCCAAAATAGCATATTCACTTTTCTACACAGAAGCTTCAGTTAAAAAGATATCTCCCATAAAACATTACTTTTTGAGATAGTTTTCTCCCTCACCTGTGTTTCCCTACAAGGCTGGAAGGAGAAGTTCTGAAGGACTTTAGTGAGAGCAAGTTTCATGTTCATGAGAGCAAACCTCATGCCAATGCAGTTCCTGGGTCCATTCCCAAAGGGCAGGTATACATAAGGATTGATGCTGCCCTTGTTTTCCTTGCTGAACCTGGAGACACACAGTAATGACAAGTTATCAAACGACAGAAGCATAACAGCTACATACAATAATTTCCCTTTAGACAACTGAACAATAACAAACAGATGAGAATTGTACACAAAATGTCCTTTCTAATCCCCCTGTGCTATAGACTCTCCATATGGTCGATGAAACAAATGCTGTCAGAGAGAAAATACACCCTATGTGCTCACTAGTGTAATAGTGTTGTTATGGGTTATAGATAGGTAATCAACGACTGCCTGATTGGATTGGAGTTCTAATTTATAGGGGGAGATTAATGCCTGATACTATAAATTTGCTCAAAATCTGATAGGTAGGGTCATTATAGGCTCTATGGGAGAATGTACTACTGTTGTTTAGCTAAGTGGACATGGTATCAAACTGTCTTCTGAATACTCATGTTTATATACAAAATTAGTGCTGCTATTAGTTTTGGTCAGAGAAGCTTCTGATTGCAGTGGAGACAGTTAACACAGAGACTCATAACTGGTCAAAATGCTGAGAACGAGAGATGGTGGAGTGCTAGGCTTTAATGGGACATCTGTATCATCCCCTCCAAGGCTCAAGGAAAATCTCAGAAGACAGGACAGAATGACACCTAAGAGCCAGGGAATGAAAGGGGTGCTGTGAAACACTATCTTCTTAACCTGACACAGATATTGTACTCATGAACTCCCAGGAGCTGTGGTTGCCTACACAAGGCAAGACCATGTTGATTCATTTCGTTAAGGATGGTGGAGAGAGTTCAAAAATTTCACCTCAGCTAGCAGTTTTAGACAATGAATAGTTGATGGGGCATGGGAATTTTCTCTTCAATGGTGTAGCCTTGGTCATTTGTCCATACTCCAAGAAATAACTCCTAGACCTATACTTATGCAAGCAACCCTAATTAAACTCATGAGTCACAAGAAGTAAAGAAGTCATGAAAACAGGAGGAAGCCTATATGGGGACAAGTAGGGATTCAAAAAGTGTAAGAGGGAGAAAAGACAGAGTAATGTCCAGTAACAATGTCCAAAAAACATTATATATGTATGTAGTTGTCTATGAATGAAAAAGGAGAGACAACAAAATACATCTTTAAATCTGAAAGTTCATTCAGCATAATGCTGGGTTCATGCCTGAAAAGCACGTGTCAGTCAGACTGATGGAATCCTGTCTCACAATTCAGTCAGTTATTTGCTACTTAGGGAACAAGGAAAAAAACTACTCTGTATTTAAATTGCCACATTTTCCTGTCTCTCTTCCTCTCTCCTCTTTTTCTTCCCTTTCTCTGCATAATGCAAATGGGTGCAAAACCATACTTAAGATTATCTTCCCATCACAGACACCATAGCATATAGGCCATCATAGCTCAGAGTGGATTCCCAATCCTGGGATCCTGTTACCTTTCAGGGCAGAATTCTGCAGGCTCTGGCCAGTACTGTGGGTCATGGTGAAGAGCATAAACTGGTATAATCATGACAGACCCTTTGGGAACAAGTACACTATCAATTTCCACATCCTGTTTACAGAATCTGTCAAGTCTCAGACCAAATGGGTATAATCTGAGGGTTTCATTCAACACCATGTCGAGGTACTCCATCTCCATCACTTTATCATAGTTGGGAGGTTCCTGGGAAGAAAGAAAAAGATTTGTGCTGAGATTTTACATTAACATTCAATGCAAGGTCTGCATTGTACCTCTGCATTCTCAGTAACTCCAAAGCTGAGCTCAGCATTTAAAAACACCTAGGCACTCACAATCCATTTGAAAGGGATTTTTAATAGTATTATTTTATGTGTGGAGCTGTTTTGTTCATATGTGTATATGAACCCTTTGAGTCTAGTGCCCACAGAAGTCAAAAGAGGATATCAAATCTCTTGCATCTGGCATTACAGGCATTTGAAAAGTGTCACCTGGATGCTGGGAATCAAACCTGAATGGATGCTCTAAAAGAGCAGGCATTGAGACATTTATCCAGACTCTTTCATAGCAGAATAACTAACCATCACTTCAGACTAGGAAGATGTCTCAATTAATAAAGTGTCTGTTATGCAAGCCTGAGGACCTGAGTTTAGATACACGCCATTCGTAAAGCCAGACACAGTGAAACACATTTATAATCCCAGTGCGGGGTGTGGGGGAGCAGAGAAAGTACATTGGCAAGATAGCATAGCCAAAATGAAAAGCTCCAGGTTCACTGAGAAAGCCTGACTAAAACATGGTGGAGAGTGATTAAGAATAATACCAATTGCAGGCATATGGCCTACATACACGTGAACACACAAACACACACATGCACACATACAAAGATGCTCACATGCATTCTCACTGTTTCTCTCTTTCTTTCTTTCTTTCCTTCTTTCTTTCTTTCTCTCTCTCTCTTTCTATCTCTCTCTCTCTGTCTCTGTCTCTCTCTCTCTCTCTCTCTTTCTCTCTCACACACACACACACATGCACACATGCTCCATTGCACGTGATAAGAAATTGTTTCTTTTTCCTTCTATTCCAAGCATCATCCATTCACCTTATTGGGCAGAGCAATGTCGATCTCTTCTTGCAGTTTCTTCTGGATATCAGGGTGAGTGGCCAGTGAATGAAGGGCAAAGGCAAGTGTGCTGCTGGTTGTGTCATAGCCAGCAAAGATAAACATAATTGCCTGAGCAGTGATCTCCATGTCAGTCAGAGCTGAAAAAGAAAATATTTCAGGAAAGTCAGGTCAGGGTGGACCAACACAAAAGAGATGAGGAGAAAATCAATTAAGGCTCCTGTTTCCCTATAGAAAAATATGGAGAAGACCTTCTGTCACCCTGGGACTGTTATCAATCTGACATCCATGTGACACAGTTAGAGAAGGGAAAGATTACTTCAACCATGATGTCACATGATTTATCTTCTGTTCATCATCATCATTAGGTAACTTCAAGGCACATAATTTGTCCTATATTTAAGATTTATTTTTATCTTTTATTTATGCATATTTGTGTGTGTAGGGGTGCTATGTGTGGAGAGGTGCTCATGAAGGCCAGAAGAGGACATCTGATCCTCTGGAGATGGATTTTAGAAGCTTGTGAGCTTTCAGGCATAGATACTGGGAACTGAATTACACTTCTCTGTTAGGGCTTAAGTATTGTATGTGTGTGTACACATACATGTGTACAAGTTCCCATAGAGAACAGAAGATTGATGGGAACACAAAGAGCTTGAGATACGGGCAGTTATAAACATTTTGCCATGAGTGCTATGATTCTGTTCTTGGTAAATTCTTTCGACCAATTAGTGTACTTGCTACTTTATTAAAACTGAGTATAAGCCATAATTAGGGGTATTTTTTAATTAACATCTTTTTAGCTATTAAAAATAAAAACATTTAACAAGAGAGATTAAGGGAGGAGGGCCTGCTTTTGTCCCGGCTGCCCAGCTAGATTACACCTGAAATAACCACACATAAACTGTATTAATTAATTTACTGCCTCTTATTGGCTAACTCTCAAATCTAGATTTAACCCATTTCTATTAATCTGTATTTCACCACGAGGTCGTGGCTTATTGGGAAAGATTTAGCATGTCTGACCTAGTGGATCCATGGCGTCTTTCTCTCTGACTCTGCTTCCTTTCTCCCAGAAAGTTCTGTCTTCCCAGCCTACCTAAGTTCTGCCCTATCAAAGGCCAAGGAACTTTCTTTAATCAACCAATGAAAGCAGCATATAGACATAAGGATCTCCTACACTACATAAGGGCTGATGAGTAGGTGAAGAGCTAGTCCAGCATGTATGAAACCATGTGCTCCATCTCCAGCACTATATAAACTAGGCATGGTAGCATAAAAGTTAAAAGGTCATTCTCAGGTACACTATGACTGGGATGTTGGCCTGGGCTACATAAAACCTGGTCTTAAAAGGAGAGGAGATATAGAAGAATTTGGAGTTTGCTGAAAACATGAAATGGTTTCAAGTGGACAGTCCAGAAAAAATTTAAACATGAAACATACGATGACTTTAGAAAGCAAACTTGGGATCCTAGAAGATCATATTGCTATATATAAGTGATTGTGTGCACTGGAAATAAGAAAATATGCAAGAATGGAAGATTCCCTTTATATTAGCCTCTGATGCATACATGTAGAATTAAACCTGGAATAGGGATAGCACCATTTTGTAAACACGACAGTAATATTGGTTTTAATTAAAACGTAAACCTAGAAGGGAGGCTAGAGTGATGGCTCAATGGGTAAGAGCACTTGTTGCACAAGCATAAGGACCTGAATTTGAATCCTCAGTCCCCATGTAAAAAGCCAAGTGTGGTAATACATGCCACCTGTTACTTCAAATTCATGGATCACTGGGACCTGCTGACTGCCAGACTAGCTCCAGGTTTAATAAGAGACCCTGTCTGGAGGAAATAAGGCAGAGAGTGATTGAGCAAGACACTTGTTGCCTTCTTCTGATACCCATTCACACACCTATTGGTATGCACATGTGCATATTCAGATGCACACACATACATATGCCACCTGAAAAGGTAATATTCTACAATTGCTTTTAAATGTTAAAATAATGAAGAGAAGCAATGGGTTTGTACAAAGAAGGTATCTCCAGATACCACTTATCCAACACATAAAGAAAAGTAAATCTTCACTATAGATTAAAATGGAGTACTTGTACTCCAGGGACTCCCAGAAATCATTAGTACTATTTGGGTACATGTCTCCTTACTGGATGTAGATTCAATTATCTAGGCAGATTTCCTAGTCAGTTCCTACTCTGTCTTTCAGGGAAAGACAAAAACATCACCTGTGTAGACCTAAGTATCATAGAGAGACCAATGAAGACTCCCATCATTGCTACCCTTCATGTTTGGAATGACCTTGTGCCCACATGCTTCTAGAAAATTCCATGGAAATAATAGCCATGTCCTTCTTTCAGTAACTTGACCGAGGTATTCTTCTGCTAAACAACCTTCCATATCATTTTTGAGTAACTAGCTCACTCCCTGAGAGCTTCCTTGTCCATAGACCAAGGAGTCCTTGGTTACCTTTATGAGACTCTTTGTCTTTGGAATTATTTTGAGTGTTCATCATCAGCTGAAGAAAATCCACCCGTTGCTGGAAGCAAAAGCAAAGTTGCAAAAATAAAAGGTCAATAGTGAATTAAGTTGCCAGAGTTGGATCAGGAGTGCAGAAGTTTAACTTCCTTCCTGCTACTATAGGTCCCTTAAATTTACAAATGCGGCTGGGGTTGCTTGAGTGAACACAGAACAAAAGCACCAGTGGCTAAACAAGGAAACTATCCAACTGACATATCAACCACTCTTACAATAAATTACAAAAGATAAAATTTTAAACAATTACTTTGATTCTCTGAAATCAAAGTTTTTGAAGGAGATGAAAATAGTATTCCCCTTTTAATTATTTTTTCTATTTTTAGAGAATTTCACTGAAGTATACAATAAAATATGGCCATATCTACCCACCATTTCCTCCATTCAATTCCTATTATAGCCTTTAATGCTTCTCCATACAAACATCATGAACTTTATTTTTATAACCCAATGAATCCAACTGGTGCTGTCAATATGTGATTGACTGTATGGGAAACCTACTGCAGGCCACACCCACCCTCTGAAGTCTTCAAAAGCCAATAGTTTCTAATTAGAGGTCGGATTTTGAAAGTTCCTCTCTCATCTAAGGTGGAGATTTGGCGATGTTGATCTAACATGGGTCTCCTGCTTTGCCATAGTTTTAATTTCAATTCTTATGTTGGACTCTCTTGTTTTCATTCCTATTGCTAAAAGTTAATTTCTGGATTATTCTCAATCAGTTTTCAAAACTCCATCTCTTCCTCCTCCAGAAATATAAATGTTTTTCTATCTTTCTAAATCTGCTCTTCTCTGTCTACCTTCAGTGACAGAAGAAGGGAAACACATAACTCACATATTCACAGTTCAACCCATTATCAAGTCTGGTGCCTCTCATTAGACAACTTTTTACCTTCTGTTTAGAATCCAGTCGATTTTCTTTCATTCTGCTCACAAATTTTTTGAAAAATGATATTGAATCTTTTTGAAACATGGAGACATTTAACATCTCATATATTGGGATGAGGAATGGAAAGAGAACTGGAAAAGAAAGATAAGGAATAAGTTTTACTGGAAATATAAGTTTCATTTAGAGAAATCATGAAGCTATCCATGGAATAAGTAACCAGTGTCTCAAGAAAGCATTCTCTCTGTGACCTTTCTCACACTAGGTCACCACCATAATGTTCCTTCTATACTCAGGAGTAGCCATAGAAATAAATCTGACTCTTGGTTTAAACTCTGCTCATGAAGTTTGTGTGGATCCAAAATACAGACAGGGGCCAGTGACAGGATTAATAACTAAAGAGTCCTGCAGAAAAGCCAAACAACCTGAATTTGATCCCTGCATCCCATACTGTGGAAGGAGAGAAACAACCAACTACTGTAAATTGTCCTCTAATCTCTACGTGTCACACAAACACCAAGGCAGTCACATGCATACACACACACACACACACACACGAAGAAGGAGAGAGAGAGAGAGAGAGAGAGAGAGAGAGAGAGAGAGAGAGCGAAACAGAGACAGAGAAAGAGAATGTCGGATATTTGTATACACTGTGTGAAGATGTCATTATGGTTTGTTTAATAAACAACTAAATGTAAAGTGGTTAGGCAGAAGTGAATAGGCAAGGTTTCTTGGGAAAGAGTGGAACTCTAAGAAAAAGTAGGGAAGAGAGATGCCAGGGAAACACTGAAGAAATCAAATTTGGAACACAAAGGAGAGGTAACAAAGCCACAAGACATAGCATAGATTAAAAGAATGGGTTGATTTAAGTTGTAAAAGATATTTGGGGAAAATCTAAGCTAAAGCCAAGTTTTCATAATTAATACTAAGTCTCCATGTCATTATGTGTGAGGAAGCAATTCAAAGAAAAGTTTAACTACACACATGCAAACACGCATGCACACACACACACAAATAAGTAAATAAAACAATTTGTTATTTAATAAGTAATAAAGAAAAGAAAGAACAGCCTAGATAGCATTTGTTTCTCAACTGACATGATAGAGTTTTGTTTAAGCTAGCACCAGAAAGGATCTAAGAAAAATCAGAGGCATGTACAAATTAATCAATATACTCTTATTAAATAAAAATATGTCAAAGAACTCCAGCAGGTGATTGGAAAAATTTCTTGAGATACAATTTCATTATAGCGTACATGCCTAGCATGCATGAGATTCTAGGATCTCCTCCACAAAGCAAAGGAACTGAAAATGTCTTCAAAGTATGAAACGAAGATACCACAAAATTGTGCAGAGAAAAGGTAGAGAGGCTAAAACTTTAAATTTCAAATAATCAAACTTCACATTATAAAATAAAATTTTAAAATAACTAACTCCAGGGAAGGAGAGAAGACTCAGTGGTAAATACTTGTTGTGCAAGTACAAGACCTGAATTTAGTACCCAGCACCTCTCTAAAGTCAAGTTCAAAGAAAGATGACCCAAACTCAGAAAGAGAGGAAAATCACACAATCTCCCTCACTTCCAGAGTCTATCCTATAATGAATAAATGTGAATACGTGAACAGGTGTAAGTGGATATGGAATAATACTCAAAAGGAGACCAGGAAAGGATGATATGAGATGTTGAGGAAAGTTGGAATGTAGGCAAAAGGTCACATGAGCTGTGGATAGATACGTAACTGACAGAGAAAGTATTAAACCCTAAATGAAACACCACTGGTAATGGTACCCAGAAAATACACAAAAAATACTACGAGTTCTGGAGAGATGGCTCCACAGGTAGCACTGGTGCTCTACAAATGACCCAGGTTTGATTCCCAGAACCCACATGGCTGCTCTCAACCATGTGTAATTAAAGTTACAGGGGATTCAATACCCTTTTATGGCCTCAGCAGGAACTTCATGCAAATGGTACACATTTATGCAAGCAAAACACCATATACATAACATAAAAATATATAAATCTTTTTAAAATGTCAAAGCAATTCAGCGATATAAAAGACATCACCTAAAAGTCAACAAAACCACATCAACTTTGTTGTTGTTGTTGTTTTAATTGAAATGGTACTAGGGAAAAGCTCATTAAAACCGCAGGTCAAGCATACAGGACATCCACTAAGTGGCAATGATCAAAGTCATGGGAGAGCCAAGTGAACGCTCAGTGGATCATAGAGAACTCTCCTACATTTCTAGAACACATAGAAAATGCTGCTACTACTGGGGAAAACATATGCTCAGTAGTTTAAATTGTTAAACATGGGGTTACTTTGTGACTCAGCAACAATGAATATGAAGGTATACCCCAAAGCATAAAACTATAGAGCTACAGTACTGAAAACAGCCTGGTATTATCAAAAACCAAACAGGGAGTCCAAGGGAATCAAAAGAAAAAAAGACCCCGATATTAATCCACACACCTTTGTACACCTGATGTTTGACAAAGAAGCAAAAAATATCAAATGGAAGAAAGAAATCATGTTTTTTTTGAATGATGCTGGCATAATTGGATATCAACATGTAGAGGAATGTAAATAGACCCATATCTATAACCATGCACAAAACTTAAGTCCAAATGAATCAAAAACTTCAACATAAAGCCAGTCACACTGAACCTTATAGAAGAGAACGTGAGAAGTGCACTTGAACGCATTGACACGGGGAACCACTTCTTAAATATAACCCCAGCAGAACAGACACTGAGAAAAATAATAAATGGAACCTCCTTAAACTGAAAAGGTTCTGTGAAGCAAAGGACATGTTCTACAAGGCAAAGCAACAGCTTACAGAATGGAAAAAGATCTTCACTAACTCCACAGCAGATAGAGGTCTGATCTCAAAAATATACAAAGAGCTAAAGAATTTGGTCATCAAAAGAACAAATAATCCAATAAAAAATAAAATACAGACCTAAACAAAGAACCCTCCACAGAGGATTCTAAAATGGCTGAAAGAAATATTCAACATCCTTAGTAATCAGAGGAATGGAAATCAAAACAACTCTGAGATTCTATCTTACACCTGTAAGAATGACCAAGATCAAAAGCACTGATGACAACTTATGCTGGAGAGGTTGTGGGGAAAAAAGAAAACTTCTGCATTGCTGGTGGGAATTCAAGCTGGTACAGCCACTTTGGATTTCTGTGTGGCAATTTCTCAAATAATTAGGAAATAATATTCCTCAAAACCCAGAAATTCCACTTTGGGGTATATATTAAAAGGATACTTAACCGTGTCATAAGGATATGTGCTCAGCTGTGTTCATAGCAGCCTTGTTTGTCATAGTCAGAATCTGTAAACAACCTAAATGTCCTCTGACCGAAAAATAGATAAGGAAAATGTGGTACAATTACACAATGAAGTACTACACAGCAGAAAAAAACTTGAATTTTGCAAGCAAATGGATGGTGCTAGGAAACATTATTTTGAATGAGGTAATTCAGACTCAGAAATACAATTATCGTATCTACTGACTCATAGGTGTATTTTAAACAAAAAGCAAAGAAAACCAGTCCACAAATCACAATCCTAGAGAACCTAGATAACAATGGGGATTCTAAGAGAGACATAAATAGATCTAATCTACATGGGTAGTAGAAAAATACAAGGTCTCCTCAGAAAATTGAGAGTAAGGATCCTTGGCAGAGGGTTGAATGGAAGGGGAGAGACAAGGAGGGGAGAAGAGAAAAATGTAGACCTCAATAAAATTCAATAAAATAAAAAAACCAAAAAGCATATTCAAACAGAACCAACATCAGTTTTCATCACAACAGAAATTAAATATTACTTTTTAATAAACACAGGAGACAGTGACCCTTGCTTAGATTTGAAGGGTGCTAAATAACAAAGACTGCCACAGAAATGAAATAGTCTATGATCCCATTGATGTGAAATACTCAAAATATGTAAATATACAGAAAGTGAATTGACGGTTGCTCAGGTCAAGGCTTGAAGGACGATGGTGCAATTGTGTAGCATGACTAGAATAGAGTACTCAGCATTTTACATTGGTAATTGGCCATGTAGATCATCAGTCAGTACAGAGTCCTAAGTGATCAGAGTGCTATTAATAAAGGACTGTTAAGTGCTGATCCCTACATGGAGCATCTGTATCATCACTCCCACCACTCCAGGCTCAAAGTACATCATGAAGGAGTGTGTGGGAATAAAGTAAGGGCCAGAGAGGGGTGGTGTGAAAGACCAATCTACGATATTGCATGGATCAATCTTGAACTGATCACCTGCATGAGATAATATTTGTCAGCATCCTAGCAGGCAGTACTGTTTGGACTCATTAGGTGACCAAGAAAAGAGAATGGGAAATAAATTGGGAGAAAGATGTGTTGTAGTGTCTGCAGGAATTGGGAAGAGTGAGAGTGAGGGGAGAGTATAATGAAGATAGATTGTATACCTATGTTATATAGTCTAACGATAAATAAAATAATTCCAAAACTAAGCCAGGCAGGCCATCACTACGCATTCAAGACCAGCCTAGTCTACACAGCAACATTCAGACAAGCTATAGAAACATAGTGAGACACTGTCTAAAAAAAAACCTGAAGTTCTAAAACAAGAGTAATGAGATACATGTTTTTGAAACCACTACAAAATGTTGGATTGTGACTTTAAGAAGGTGAATTGTATTCCAATAGAGCTGCTAGTTGTGAAGAGTGTGGAAAAGAGATGGCAGAACTGACAAACATGGCCACACTCAAGATCAGTAGGTCAAAAGACAGAAGAACCATCATACATACTTATTGACAAGAATAGCGGCTCAAAAAAATCTATTTTTAAGAACTTCTTGGTCTTTTCTGCAAATGGATCCTTTGGGTTGTTTAGGGAATCGACGCTCACACCAAATGCTGTGCTTGTGATCACATCCATGCTGTAGGCCCCAAACACTCTGAGGAGAGAGAGACTTGGGATTTAATACATGCAGCAAGAAGCCTGAAATATTCACATTCTTGGCTGATAGAGTGTAAACCACCTCATCTCAGTATTGACCAAGCACCTTTCCCTCCTACCCACCCTCTACTACTGTGCACCTGGCACTCTTGTGTTCTTTTCTCAACTGTACCTTTGTCATCCAGTGTCTAAAAGGGAAGAAGGAACAGCTGGACATGTGAGACACACAGAAGGATGACCCTTCTGCCTTTGTTGCTCTTCCTCTCCCAGAACCACAGCAGATGTACCACTACTCACTCTTTCATGTTGAGAGGCTTGCCTTTCTCTGCCTCCCTTCTCAAGTATTTTACCAAAATATCTCCATACTCCTCAATGATGGGAAACATCTAAGCACAAAACACAAAAGCATCCATGGTTTGTTAGGTGTGGAGACTCAAGTCACACAAACATTCCAGCTAGAAGTACTTTTAATCACCTCTTTGAGTTTTCCACTGGTGAAGGTGGGAGACAGCAAGGCTCGAAGTCTCTTCCACTCCTCATCCTTAGATAGGGCGATGGCTTTACTCATCACACCCACTGGTCCTATAACCTTAAGTCCAAAAAAATAGAAATATTTGCTCTTAGTAAGGCAAGAATTTTCCATGGTTTTAAAAGTACTAAGTGGATATTGTTGTATAACAACTAGTTACTGACTATTTGCTATAGATCAAATCTTATGCTAGATGAAAAAATAGTCAGAATTTACTCACATTCTGTAAGAAATCAGGTGATCACTGGCTAACTTCATGTTGATATTTCAAACCTTTATATTCCATGATTCTCCTAAACATAAATCTCTGTGGTTATAAAATTGTTGTCAGAGGTGGGAGTAAAGATGGGAACAAGTATTTTAGTAGATTCTCCAGAGCTATGCAGATGGCAAATGGTTTGGGGATAGGATAGCCAGTTAACGCTGCATCAGACAAGTTCACCAGCATGGTATTTAAATGGGTTTTTTGATATGGTGTATGTGTGTTTGTGTGTGTGTGTGTGTGTCCTTGTGTGTAGGTTAGAGTGCAATGTGAATGCTCATTAGGAAGCCAGAGGTCTGGCTTATTTCTTTATAACTCTCTACTAAATTTTTGAGCCAGAGTCTCTCAATGAATCTAGAATGTTCTAGCTTGGCTAGAGTAGATAGACAGCAAATCCCTAGGGCCTACCTACTTCTAAACACAGCTCTGAAAGTTATACCCAGGTTGTATGTGATGCCAAAATCCAAACTCTGGTCCTTTATCCACTCAACTATCCCCTTAGTCTGAGACACTGAAAGGATTTTGTGTTTTAAATTTCAAGATGTATTTTAATATTTTATACATGTCTCTCTGTATGTGTGTGCATGAATGTATACACATGTGTGTGCAGTTTTTATGAGACTGAAGAAACAAGTTGGAGCTCCTGCAGCAGGAGTTACAGGTACTTATGAGCCTGTGGATATGGATGTAGACAAGAAATTCCTCATTCTCTTTCAAAGCTTTCAGCCACTAAATCATCTCTCTGACCCTGGTTTATTTGGTATGGGTTGTTTGTTTATTTAGAAATAGTGCTGTAGAAATGTTTTTCCTTAATTCTTCATGCAATGATAAAGAGTAAGTATAATTCCATTTTTCTGGTGGGACCTTCATTCTACCACAATTATATTTATACAATGTGAAGTTTCCCAACTGCCCTTATATTAAAATATTTGGCACATTAGGAAAAAATGAATATGGCTTCCCTTGATGAAGGGCAATTGCAAACTAGCCCTTCAGCCAACTTCACCAGATGATCAAAGGCTGAATGAAGGTTTAAGAGATGGCTCAGTAGGTAAATATGCTTGCTGATAAGCACAACAACCTGAATTCAGTCTCTAGGATATATGGCATAGAGAGAACCAATAGATTTCCCCAGATATAACAGTGGGATAGTTATGGTTAGAGAGAGAGAGAGAGAGAGAGA